ACACCACACACACACACACACACACACACACACACACACACACATACACCCCACACACACACCCCTGGAAAAAGATTGTTGATTAGATGGCAATACCAGAAGCTATAACAGATCAACAGATAGCCACTAAAATTCTCACTGTTTCCTTGTAATTTTTACAATATCCTGAGAATTTTTAATTTTACCTCATTGCATCTCACCAGCAAAGTGTTACTTAGTACCTTTGAATCTGGTTTCTTACCTCTGTAAATTCAGACCCTGGAAGGGACTAGAATCTGGGGAAATTAGCATACCTAGTTTCTATACAAGGAAGCTTTGGTTGCTTACTGGTAAGTAGTAGCACTGTCAACTCAAAAGCCTGTAGCTCAATTCCACCAGCTGCTGCATGGCAGAAAGATGGTCAGTTTCCTCCTGTGTGATTTGGTGCCTCTGAAAACCTACTTGAATGTCAACTATGAGCTGATTTCAACTTGATGGTATCTAACAACAGTCTTTATATGTTGTTGTTGTTGTTGTTGTTGTTGTTAAGTTGAGTCGGTTGTGAGTCATAGCGACCCTATGTACAATAGTTCTGAATCCAGCCCTATCTTGAGCCAATCTTTTTGTCTCTGACAAACCTACCCCCATTAACCAACCTGGTCACTGAAACAATCCATCTTATGCTGGGCCTTCCTCTCTTACGCTGTCCCTCTAACCTCACAAGCATGATGTCCCTTTCCAAGGCATGGTCCCTCCTTGCAACATGCCCAAAGTATGCCACACAGAATTTCAGAATCCTTGCCTCCAAGGAGCAGCTTTATTTCACCCTCTCTAGGAAGAACCTGTTTGTTCTCTAGGTGGTCCATGCTATATTCAATACTCTTCTCCAGCACCATAGCTCAAAGATGTCAATTCTCCTTCTATCATCCCAAGTCATTGTCCAGCTTTCTGATACATAACAAGTAATTGTGAAGACCATGATCAGGATTAGGTACACCTTAATCTCCGGACTTTTTTTTTTTTAAATTTGTGTAAGTGTACTGTCAAATCAGATCTGACTGGTACAGGAGGAGATTGTCCCTCCTTCCCCAGCAGAGCATCTGGTGGATTCAAACCGTGCACCTCTGGGATTGCAGTGCAGCTTCTTGCCACTAGGCCACCAGAGCTCCCCTAATCTCCGGACTTTATACGTTAACTAATATATTCATTAATTGTGGGAAATATCTGTGAACTAAGAACTAGGGCTTGTCATAATAAAATATTTTTGTCTCTTGATGGAGAAAATAAGTAAATAAGAATATAAATTTTTTAGAAGATCAGATAAAATAAAGTAGATGAAGTAAGCTTACTGGATAATTTTACTAACTTGTTGGGGAAAAGTATGATTTTTAGATAAAATAAAGTAGACGAAGTAAGCTTACTAGATAATTTTGTTGGGGAAAAGCCTGATTTTTACAAAGAACAAACTCTTCTTAAACAATGTTGAAAATAAAAATATAACCCTAGATCTAAGCTCTCTATTTTGTAATTGCCCATTATCTCACCTCTTTGTTATTTTAATATAATGTATGTAGCGGTAATAATTTCTAATTGTACTATTAACTACCTTTTACTCTCTGTAACCACTCTGCTTTAATTTCCTTATAATAAGGAGTGCCTTACCTACACTGTAGGATTTTTAAGAAGATAAAATAAATTGAAAAATTAGGACAATTTAGTAGAAATCAGAAAAGTAAGATGTCTACATTAAAAGTACTTTTGTTTGTTTTGTGGTTGTCACTACATGAAATCACTTGGCTAATGGAAAAAAAATTCTACTAAATTTATTGCTATCAAGTGGGACTTAACTCATAACTGATGCTCCATGGATTTTTCAGAGGTTATAAATTGGAGTAGCTGGTACATTCAAATTGCCTGCCTTTGGATTAGCTGCACTACCCCTTACCTACTAGGGCTCCACCAGATTTCCCTAAATGGGATCAATATGTGGATATCTTATAGTTTGTATTCTAACACAATAGTCTTCCCTCCCCTCTGTCTTCAATTCAGTACTATTTTTGTTCTATAGTATTATAATAGTTTTCCAGGATTCCAGATCTGGGCTTACAACCTTAGTAAATTCTATAGTCTTCTTAAATGAATATGGTATTCTAGGCTTAAATCTGCAGCACCTCTATAAGAGACAGCCAATATATAATCCACAATCTAGCTTAAAAATACATCTCATCTTGTGTATGTAAAGCGTAAGGTGATGGACGTGAATTTCCCCCCGAATATCTCATGTCATTATTGGCATAGATGTGAAGAACAAATTTCTTTAGAATTTGCATATAAACTTCCCTGTTTTCTCTTTGCCCCAGAGCACATTTACCTGTTCACTGAGGAATGTATTTCCCACAGCAAACCTCACATGGTTTCTAGATGGAGAAATTCTTCAAGGTGAAAAAGAAGGTAAGGAACTTAGTGAATGGAAGTGGGTTTGGCAACAAAATAAAGAAAACTAAGAACAGTAGAAGTTGTCATCATCTAAGTTGATCTTGGCATTTAAGAAATAATTCTCATTCCAAGATAAACATTATTTTACCTACCGAATGCCATTTTCTGCTACCACATCTGGTTTCTCCAAAATACCAGAAGGAGCATTAAAAGAAGAAAGAGTTGACTTTGTCAAACCACATGAAAACACTGACATCTTAGTATAGCAAAAACACATCTTATTTGAAGGTAAGAAGTTTATATCAACATACGTTTATTAACAATTGCATTTAGTTAATTAATACCATTGCTTTAAATCAATAAACCAATAAATCCTCACTTTTTCTTAAGATCTAGAGGGCAGAGGGGGGGAAAAAACTAAAGGAAGTATTTGTAATGAACTTGGCTTCATGTCAAGGAACAAGTTCACCAGGAGAATTAAAAGTTCTTGGAGCGAGAACATGCACCAAAACAAGCTCAGGTGGTAATGCACAAAGCTCCATTTTTCAGGTGATGACCATGGCAGTTACTGCCAGAATCTTTCTGGCCATCCCTCTCAGCCCATCCTGCTCCAACCACAGGCAATAGTCTCTCTCCTTTATCTTATAAAAAGAGCAAGAGCCATGTCTGGCCATCAGACCAAGAGTATCAAACCACACCTGATCTTTATCAACTTCTCAGAGGGAAACTATCCCCATTCACATTCACAGCATCAGTAACACAAAACTAATTCCCTTGAGGTCAGACATGCCCGATACCCCCTTTCTACTCATCTCAATCTTACTACTTACTTACCAATCTTACTCCTGTGCTGGGTCCAAAATTAGATGTGATGGCCCACAGATTACTCAGAACCATGTTGGGGAAGTCAGAAGTTTATAATCCAGATTAATAACAAAATAGAATCAAGACAGCTCCCAAAATGTATATGCAGACACCTCAGCCTCAAGCCTCATGGCTCTAAGTATTCCCAAGTTCTCAATTCTGTCAATATGGCTTGCCACTCACAATTGTCCAACAAAGTTCTAAGTCCTCCCAGTTTTAGCTCCCTCTCACCCCAAAGTCTCATCTAACATCACTTCTCTAGGTCAACCGTGGCTGCTAAAGTGTGTCCTACATTTCACCAGGTTGTGGGAAGTCTCTCTTTTCTGGCATGAGGAAGAATTCTAACTCTGCAGGTAGAGCTGTTCAATTTATTGCTAAAACTAGCCAGTCCTCTTGCACATTGTTCAGATTGGTCAGTTATCTTGTGGAATAGTAGAGAGCCAATCCCTTACTGGATAAGCCAAAATGCCCCATTTGCATGGCTCCATTCTACTACAATCATCCATCCATGCTAGAAAAGCCATATTGAAAGACAAACTGTATATTTGTGTATTTTTCCTCAAAGTTCAATATCTTCTTAAAAACAACTGAGTTACTTACTACATTATTATCATTGATAAAAATTAAAAATTTATGTTGGGGTCCCAGGGGAGAAGGGGTGGGAGCAGAGAGGCGAGGATTGGTAGGGAGGGAAATCACAGGGTTGCACAATTTGGCAGGTGGGGGGGCTAAAGGAGATGGGGGAAATCAGACAGGGACATGAAAAGATGAGATAATGGTAGGCATAGTCCAAAGGTAATGAATTTTATAAAACACATTGTATGGGAATGATTGTATGAAACATAATGTCAGTGAAGGAAAGGGGGTAGGAATCTGCATAAAAATTAACTTCTTTTTTATGTTGGTGTTTATATGATGAATTACTTGGTGCAAATTGAAATGATTGGTTTTAGTGTTAATTTTAAACAACTCATTTCTCAACTCACTGCAGTTCTGAGAACAGAAGTACTAGATGGTGCCTATTACTGCTGACCACTCCAAAGGGGATCACAATAGGCCCCAAGTAGAGAGCAAGGAAAAAATGTGAAACAAAACTAAAAATCATAAAAAAGATTATACTTACTGGTGTGAAAGAGACTGATGGAACCCCAGATAATATGGCTTTTACTTATCCTCCAAGCCTACAACTGAAATCACCCCCCTTGACTCAGCTTCTAGCTAAATAGAAAGGCCATAGATGGTCAATAACACCAAGGATAAATATATTCCTTAGAGCAATCAAGCATACAACATCAAAAGAGCATAAATTGTCCAGGGATGCTCAGAAGGCAGGAAAGGCTAGAGAAATTGAAAAAATGGAAACATGGCAAATACAGTGAGACAGTGGAAAGAGTCCTGGTAATAGAGTGAGGATTATAATCAATAACTATGAGTTATTGAATGGGAGATCAGCTTTCTTTATAAAATGTCATTAAAATTACAGAGTGAGGATTATAAT